TCGGTCATGGGGCTTGAACTCTGGGCCTGGGCGCTGTCCCTCAGCTCTTCAGTTCAAGGCGAATGCTCTACCACTTGAGCTACAGCACCACTTCCGGTTTTCTAGTGGTTTTATAGGAGATAGGAGTCTCACGGTCTTTCCTGCCCCCTGCCCGGGCTGGCTTTGAACCGCGATTCTCAGATCTCAGCCTTCTGAGTAGCTAGGATTACAGGTGTGAGCCACCGGCGCCAGGCACGAGAACATTTCTTATCAAACATCGTTGTCTTCTCCTTTGTTTTTCCCCTACCATCCCTTCCCTCCCACCTCCACAAATATATTCCCTTCCCTTTCCTCCCCTCCACCAGAGATGAACTCTTCTTATCACTGAGATATATCCCTATCCTTGCATCTCAGTCTTGGGGCATAAACTCTGTTTGAGCTTTTCTGCTCAAAGCCTAGTACTCTAGCACTGGACACAACTCCACTTCCAACTTTTGTGATGCTTAGAGATAAGAGTCTTAAGTACTTTCCTGTCCTGCTGGCTCCTCACATCTTAAGCTCCAGAGTAGCTAAGATTACACAGTGTGGGCTTTAGTCTTCACAGCCTTTTTTTTTTTAAGGCATGGTTCTCGCCAAGATGCCCAAGGTAGCCTGGAACTTAAGATCTTGCCTCAGCCTCCCAAGTAGCAGAAATTATAGACTATATGCCATATATGTGGTATATATAGAATATGTGCTATGTTTTGTCTTCTGATTTTTCAAACAGTTTATAAAATGTAGGGCTAAGCGTGTTTCCTAATAAGAGCTTTGATCTCTAGTTCTGTAATAAATCAACTAATAAGCACTGCATAACATATATATATCTGATAAATATATAAGTAAGAATATATAAAATGCCACCTCTTTAAGGAGTAGGGATGAAAGAAATAGTATTTATGGCAATACTTGCATTTTTTTTTGCAAAAATGTCTTTTTAATATTTTAGACTTTGTACACCATATGTCTCTCCTTTTTTTTTTGATCCTGGGGCTTGAACTCAGTGCCTAGGCACTGTCCCTGAGCCTCTCTGTGCTCGAGGCTAGCACTCTAACACTTGAGCCACAGTGGCATTTCTGGCTTTTTCTGTGTATGTGGTACTGAGGAATCGAACCCAGGGCTTCGTGCATGCTAGGCAAGCGCTCTTCCACTAAGCCACATTCCCAGCCCAATGGCTACTATTTTAATAGGCTAATTTATAGGTTTATTTGTTTGTTTATATGTTACAGATATAGAGAGCTAGCTCTACCACTCTACCACTCAAGTGGCTGCCTGGGCTGGCTTTGAACCGCAGTCCTCTTATCTCAGCCTCCTGAGTAGCTAAGATTACAGTCACAGGCCACTAGCACCCTGAAAAGAATTTTAAATTAGGTGATTGTAAATTTTTAAATGGTCCATATAGGTCTACAAAGAGAGTTTTAAGAAAGAAAAAGGGAGTTAATTTGGTAGAAATAAAGACCGGAGATTTATTAGAGAAATAAATTAGGACCAAAATGACATAGAGGACTTTAAAGTATTGGATATTTTGAACAGTAAATTGGAAGTAATTCTAACCATCATGGATTTTTTTGAGTAGAAATAGGAGCAAAGAAACCTAGTTACCCCCCCTTTTTTTTTCAGAGTTTGAATTTGCATACTAATTGTGGGAGTAGAAAGGAATGGGAAATTTTACATATTAGCTTCGTATCCCTTCCAAATATGATAAATGAATTCTAAGGGCATAAATGGTTAGTAAAATTACTTTATTCTGAGTTTACAAACTTGGGTTAAATACTAGAAAATAGGTGATAGGAAATTACTGGTTACTCCTGGAACCCATTTATGAATTTATAGTTTCATGAGTCATTACAGTCTGCCTCTGGACTTAGAGGCATGGCTGAGTTGATTGATAATTTTTTTTTTTTCTTTAAGATCTGTTTACCCGAGGTATTGATATACAAGCTGTGAATGTGGTAATAAACTTTGACTTCCCAAAGCTGGCAGAGACCTATCTTCATCGTATTGGAAGATCAGGTAAGGAAAATGGGATGATTTTGATGGAAATAATTTCTAAGAACACTAGTCATCAAATTTTGATTATTTGTGAGATAGAATGTAGTAGATATGAGAAACAAGTGAGGGGCTGGGAAGGTGGCTCAGTGGTAGAGCGCTTGTCTTGCATGCCTGAGGCCCTGGGTTCGATTCCTCAGCACCACATAAGCAAAAGAAAAAAGCCGGAAGTGGCACTGTGGCTCAAGTGGTAGAGCACTAGCCTTGAGCTGAAGAACTGAAGGACAGCGCCCAGGCCCAGAGTTGAGGCCCCACGGCCGGATCCAAAAAAAATAATAATAGTAATTAAGGTAGATTGTGGCCCAAGCAGAAAATGAGACCCTATCTCAAAAATAACCATATAAAAGAGCTAGAAGTGTGCTCAGCAGTAGAGTAGCAAAATGTAAGGCCCTGAATTCAAACCCTAGTACCACTGAAAAATAGAACCTCCTCATGCTGGAGATGGAGGAAGGAGTAATCCTGGGATCATGGCAAGACCCTATCAACATTTTTTTTTTAATTAACTTTTTGTCAGTTGTGGGGCTTGAACTCAGGGCCTGGGCTCTGTCTCCTGTGCTCTTTTGCTCCAGGTAGGTAAGTGCACTACCACTTAGAGCCATAGTGTCACTGCCCATTTTCTGGAGTTTAATTAGAGATAGGAGTCCCATAGACTTTGTACTCTGGCTGTTTTGAACTTTGATCTTCAGATCTCAGCCTCCTGAGTAGCTAGGATTACAGGCATGGGCCACTGGCACTAGGCTCTCATGGTGGCACATGCTTCCCATCCCTGCTACTTAGGAGGCAGACATTTTGAGGACCAGGAGGCATGGGTAGGAAAAAGAAAGCAAAGAAGAGCAGTAAGAGGTAGAGGTAGAGCGCCCTTCCAGGAGCAGTAAGAGGTAGAGGTAGAGTGCCCTTCTAGGAAGTTCAAACACCACCACCGCCAGAATTTTCAAATTATTTCTTCAATGTTAAATATCAAGCTTTTTTTCTTTTTCTTTCTTTTTTTTTTTTGTCAGTCGTGGGGCTTGATTTCTAGGCTTGGGCTCTGTCTTCTCAGCTCTTCAGCTCAAGGCTAGTGCTTTACCACTTGAGCCACAGCACCACTTTTTCTGCTTATGTGGTGCTGAGGAATCAAACCTAGGGCCTCATGCATGCAAGGCAAGCGCTCTACCACTGAGCCACCTTCCCAGCCCCAAATACAAACTCTTGAACAAACAAAACTAGTCAGATTTGAGGGAGGGCCTGTCACTAGTACTCAAAGATCTGACTCAGGGATGCTTAGGAGAAATTCCATCATTGTTACCAGTGGATTCTCTTGGGGAACAGGGGCCAATATTACATTACTAGGGAGAATTGAAAACCTCTGCGTGCAGGCTTTGTGCACACTGGCTTTGTATTGCTGATTGCGAATTTTTTTTTTTTTTTTTGCTTTCTATAGGCATTGACAACAGAAGGCTCCTTTGGATCTGCGACTTAATGCTTTTTGGGTGGGATGCTCTTCTCTTGTGGGTTTTTCATCTTTTATTTTGGAACTATGAAGACTTAAAATACGTTTTTCTTTTTTTTTAAACTGGTGAAGAGAAAGAAACTGAAAAGAAGAACTCTACCTTTTTGTTCCACTTGTTTGCACTGTGCCGACTGAACATTAGTTGCACTAACTGCTGGTTTTTAAAAATGTTTCCTGGGGAACGGGGACAAGAAAGGAGGAAAGAAGAGAAAGGGAGAAACCCTAAAAAGAGAAGAATGTTGATGAACACACAAGCTTGTCTACATCTTCAGAATTCTCCAACAGCTGTCTCGAGTGCATTTCAACTTCTCCCTGATTAGTCATCCGTTTTTAAGCCTGAAGAGCTTATTACTTATTTGTGCGAAGTGCCTTATGCTATGAGACCATTCACAATATCATCTTTTAGACACAGCCCAAGGAATCAACAAAGTAATTTTTTTTCTTTTTTCTTTTCTTTTTAAAATTTTGTCTGTTCATTTGGTTTCAAGTTATAAAGTGTGTCTCTTCCTGTTCTACTCAAGCCCAGGGCTGGAAGATGAATCTTACTAGTAATGTTAACACCATTTTCTTTTTCTCTATTTGGAGGAGTTGATATGCAACTGCAGTTCATCCGCACTGTAAATACATGTATTTAAAAAAAAAAATCAATCCCAAGTAAAGATTTCTTCTGGGCTGAGTAGATCCATCCTTGCTCCCAAAGGAAAGAGCAGTCTATCATTGCAGGAGCCATATGACAGGCCTTTGTGCTCTACCACAGAACACTAAAGACTGGTTTACATACGTCTCCATTAGCAGTATGGCACTTGATGTGTAGACATGTCAGAGCCTTGACCCTCTTTCCTCTGTGGCAGAGCGTGTCCCATAGAAAATTGGGTGTGTATACTTGTATAAACTTTGTAAATAAGTTTTTTTCTGGGTTCATATATATATATATATATATATATACATATATATATATTATTTTTTTTGGATGAAGGTTGCTGGGATTAAGGGGATTCGAGTGATTATGAGAGCAGCTAAAGATGAGAGGGGCTCAGTTTTCTGCAACACTAAATTCTAAAAAGTACTTTGGCCTGTTGCTGTAGAGTGGGTGTCTGTTGTGCCCATGCTAGAAAAGGAGCCCAGGTGTCTGGGATGCACTGTTTGCTTGCTGTCACACTGTCTCAATACATTTAAAATAAGTCTTACCAGAAAGCAAGGAAGCTTCTAATAGCTATGATTCAAGATGATTTTTTTATGAAGGTCTCTGATTTGACCTCTCCTTTTCTAAGAGAGGAATCTTACAAATTCTGCCAAAGGATTCACCTTCCTTGTCGTGCGGGGATTCTGTTGAGTGACAGTGTCTATGAACAGAGTATTAGAAGGAATGGATTGGAGTTTGCGCTTACTAGCCATTGTCGACTTTGGTAAGGATAGCAGATTGGAGGTTAGTTTTCTGTGGATCATCTCCTATAGTGTATACATGTGTTGCCCTCTGCCCATCTTGATAGAAAAACTTTTGCAGGAACGGGCAACCCCTGAGAGCTGTTACTCGTGCTACAGAAAGCTGCTTGCATCCTCTTGCGTTTTGACAAGAACTGTTGCCTGTCATTTTGCGTTGTAAATTGCTGGCAGATACTTTACAGTCAATAGTGTTGCTTTAAATTGTGCCCCTCCCAACATGCTTGATGTTTGGCCTGATCTCCAGGCAAAAGGAGTGAGATGAATCAAAACCAGTGAACTTTTTTTAAAAAAAAAATGTTTTTAATTCCCTTTTAACCCAGTGTACTAGGTCAATCAGGAGGCATCTAGAGAACAAAAAAAAGCAAAAAATAAATTTAAAAAGTTGATTTCCATATTCCCATTGTATTTAGAACCTTCTTACAAGAAAATTTCTGCATATGCTTTGTGCTTAATTCATCTGGATAAAGAAATCAGTTATTCAAAGTTGCTTTTTTGACTGCCTAGTTCTAAGCAAAACTTTGTGACTTGCCCAAAATTCCTTGAGGATTAAAATCCTAACAGATGCCTCCTGATCACACACAGCCCTAACTCCTTAACTGTAGCAAGAGCTGCGCAGTACAAATCCCCCAGAGAGCAAGTTCCTTTCTTTGGAATCCCAAGTCATAGATGCTCTATCAGGTCAGTGTTGGTTATTAAATGCAAACCTAATTGAAGAAATACCTTTTCCAGGGATGGGTGGGGGAGGGGATTTGCAGTGTCACCTTTTGACCAACAATCTTACCTTGTACTGATGCAGCTCTCTGCACCCCCCCTTCCCCCACCCTCCCACCCCCCCTACCCCCGGCGAGGTAAGAGGGATCATTTATGTAGAACACAAAGGAATATAAATCCATTTTGTATCTCGCCTGGGAGTATGGGGTGATTAAACAAAAAGTGCAGTCATCTTTGCCACCCTTAGACTGCTCTGCCTGGTGCCACATACCTGTGGTCCCTCTTAAAGCACAGACTTGAATTGAAAGTATTACTGAAGTACAGCCTCTGAGAGGAGAGGCACTTGTCTGGGACACCGTGGTTGGAGGCAGCTGCCCAGTTTTGGTACTTGAGTCGAATAGGAACAGCTAAATGGAAAGATGCTCTGAAGACCAGGACCAAGCCTGGTCTTATTTTTTTCTTTCTTTCTTTTTTATCCCTTACAATAAGGAACATTATTTCTATTGGAAATGGTCCTCAGATTCTTTACAGTATTGGGTTTTTGTTTTTTTCTTGAACGTGATGGTTATATATGTTTCCAGTGGTTCATTTGGATGGGAACTATGTTCTGTTTCTAAAAACGACATCCAACCCAGGCCTTCGCCCCTGGCCATGCGGCTGTGTGATGGTTACGGACTGTTACACGCCTGCTGCCTCTGGGCCGTTTTGTTTTTCACTCCCCTAAGTTCTGAAGGTGAAACTTCTCTTGCCTTTCCTTTCCTTTCCCGTGGGATAAGTTCATCTTAACATGATTTTCCATGGAAGGAAATGCGGGGAGGAAAACCTGCGTTTATTTTTTGCATTGGACTCCAGCATCCATAATATAGGGTTGATCCAAAGGGTGGGGGGGTGGGGGCGGGCATCATACTTGCTTTCAGAATGAGATGGGAGCATCTTTCCTCTGCCGCTGGCTTTGTGCTTGATGCCGTTGTGCTGGGAGAGCAGGACAACTCGGCACAAAGCTTTGGGCACACGCTATTGAAACCAAAACATCTCATTCTGAATACTTGGTTTAATTTCTTTTTTTTTTTTTCTTTTTTTAATGGGGAGGGAGGGAGGGTACTGCAACCCACAGGGAGGGTGTGTGCACTAAGGATTTGGAAACACTTGGGAAGCTCAGAACCTCATCAGAAACTGCCTTTAGCCACACTCCTGACCTTCTAGATGAGTAACAGATTACACGAGTTATTGGGAATTAAGCCATGTTATTTTAATTCGCTACATTTTTCAGCTTTCATGGATCTTTAAAATTGTGGAATTATTTTTCTCACCAAAATACTTCGTTAAGCAAAATTATTGGCCTCACGGGAACTGAAGTAAATCAGCTTTTTGGTGAACTTAAGTAGACTGGTGAGTTTAATAGTTCTGCTTTATATTCATAGA